TTTCATTTATTTATAAAGAAAATGATGAATTACAAGAAAAATAACAAATAATATAAAACCAAATAACAAAAGAAGAATGTCATATCAATAAACAAATATAAATGATAGAAGAATGTGTGAAAATAGTTATTATTTGATTTGAAATAAATCTATGAATTATTATCATATTAATTATCATATTATTAATTATCATCATAGTAATAACTGGATTGATAGTATTGTTTATTTCATTCATAATTTCATTGTCATAAATATTTAACAATAATTTTAATAGAAACAAACAGTATTATCACAATAGAAGTAAATATCAAAATAAAACACAAAGAAAATACAAACAATCTCATAATAAAAAATACAGAACAAAACAGAAATAAATAAATTGATAGAAATACAAAACCAAGAATAATTGAAAATACTCTTTGACAAAGAAATTAAAATACTTACACCACAAGAAGTAGAAGAAATTAACAAAAAATTAATATTAATGAATATACACCATCCGTAATAGGAAGAAGTTGGTATTTTATTGTACGAGAAAACAACAACAAATAGCAAGCAGTAAGTGTGATAGTAAGAAATAAATTAAATAATTTTTTGTTTTGGCTTTGTGTCATTAGAATAAACAATAATTCATAAATGTAAAAATTAATTAATAGAAATTCCATTCATTTTTAATATTGTTTTCACAGCCATAAGGAAATTTGACGACACAATGTCTGGTGGATCTTTTTTGAGAGACTCTTCATTACTACAACCTGACTCAACAAGGACAGAAGTATAATTATACGGTGATTCAGTTTTCATACTGTTTGCCCCTCGAATATCAGAAATTGGATTATCCCCAATTCCATAAAAAAGAGTTATGTTATTGTTATGTTTAAGAATGACATTTTCAGCCATTTTGTATGAGAGACGATATGGTTTTCCCATAAACTGGATATTAAGGTCTTGGTTTGTGATTGACTTCCAAACTGTATTTAAGCATGTTCCAAAAGCACCAACTGTCATACGGGGTAAAGAGAATTTTCCTGCATAGTCAAAGTCAGGATTACATAAATAAATTGGTATTCTCTGTGTTAAAATAATGTTATTGTCTATGATAGAGGCAAGACTTCCATCTTTTGATCTTAAAACATCACAAATAATTTGAATTGCTTCTCCCCAATTCAATGGAGTATGGGCAATAAATATAGCTGCAATTTGTGTATGTTCGTCTAATTCAGAATGAATAGAATAAGAGTGAACAGCTTGGTATCTATCAGGAAATTGTGCAGGGTTAATTGTAGCATAATCCTCATAATAAATTGGATGTTTAAACCCAAAACTTCGAACAGTGTCCATCTCCATTTCTTTTCCAATTATTAATACCGGTTTATCTTCAAAATCATTTACTAAGTCTTTAAGAGGAGAAACTGCTAAAATAATTTGTTCTGGAGTGACATGAGTTCCTAATGCTTTATTAACGATATCTGCTTTGTATTGAGCATTTCCATGACCATTAGTTAATAAGCAATATGGCACTTTATGTTTTTCAAGTAATTCAATCCCTTTGTCTGCTCCTTCGATTTTACATCCATCCCTAATAAGAACTCCATCAATATCAATAATACATCCAAATGGCTTCATGATGAAATGAAAATAAAAAGTATAGTTTTAATTAGAAATTTTCACTATAAATTATAATATAATTTTTCAAAAGAGAAAACCTATTCGTTATTCTTTATCAGAGAAAAATTCGATAAATTAGAGTTGAAGTTGTTTGACTTTATCTTCAGTTCTTGTTGCAATATAGTCTGCCGTTTCCTTATAATAGGATTGTAATTTTGGAATCTCAGTTTGGGAAATACTTTCTTTAATAACATTAGCAAAGTTATTAATATATTCTGCAGTGATTTCTGAATTATCTCGAATAAAATGAATGATATAGATATTTAATATATCAATCAATAATTCTATGTTTTGTTCTGCGACTTGACATAAACCAGCTTCTTTAACTGCTTTTTGTAAATAACTAACTGATTGTTTAGCAACTTTTCTTTGTTCATTGAATAAAGCAGATGATACTTGACAATATAATTTTCCTTTTTGGAAAGAGTCTTGTAGAAGTTGAATAAATTTGCCACATCCATTAATGTAAACTTCATTCATATCATCTTCTAATGAACATGACGCTAAAGTAGACAGAATAAGTTTTAATGACTCTTCTTTTGGAACATCAGTTTCATCTTCATACATAGCTAATGCTGTTTCAAAGAAATAAGAAGCTTGGGAATATTTTGCTTGAGCAGCAGTACTACCAACTTCAATACAACACTTTAAAGCAACAAAATGAGATAAAGTTTTAAGAGTTTTCAATATATCAAAGACACATTTAAATATATCATCTTTTTTATCTGTAATAACTGGAATAGCTCTTAAATACATAGAAATGACTGTGGGAAGTATCATCAAAGATCTACGGTTTCCTGAATTCTTTACTGCATTTTTGACTTCTCTTACAATATCAAAGAAAGAATCTGTACTAACAGTAGATGATAATGCAACTGTTTTGAATAAATTACAATCAATAGCAAGTTCTTCATCATTTAATGGTGTCATATCTTTAGTGTCTTGATAAAGGGTTTCAATACAACGAATAGTTAAAGCCATAATATCTCCAGTAGAAGAGATATGATTCTTTTCGGTAACTTTTTTAGCAACAAATCTATGAGTTTCATGTCTTAAAGTGTATGGAAGTAAATTAATTAATTCAGGATAAACTCTGAGTTGAATAACCTTAAGAACATTGTATTTCGTGAATGGGAATTGAAGAAGAGACACTAAAGCATTAGCAGCTTCAATGCTAATATTTTGTTGAGTAGTAAGATAGTCATAAACATTATCATTAATAGCATTTAATTGTGTATAAGCATCATCTTCATTATGCCAGACAAGTACTAAATGAGCAAGAGTGGCATAGACACTAACATATTCTTCACAAGTAAGTGTTTGAGTTTTGACAATTTGTGAAATGTGAGTAGAAAAGATCTTGAACATATCCATATTACGTTCTATTTGTGGATTAGCTGCAACATAACTAGAAATTCGTTCCATTAATGAACATAATATTCTTCTAATTCCAACATTTGCTACAACACCTCCTAATGAATGAAGAAGAAGGTGAAGAGTTGCAAGTTGATAATCAGCTGGAAAGGCTTGAATAAGAGCGTCATAGAGATAGTCTTGAGTAACTTTATCTCTAGAAAGGAGAACTTGTTCAAGAAATCTTGGTAAAATATTAGTAGAATATAATTCTAATGAAACACCATCAAGATTAGACATAATCATTAAATTTTTACCTACAACCTGACATAATTGTTGTTGCTCTTCTACTTTTTGTTCTGTAACTTGTGGTCCTTGTGTTAAACGTACTAATAAACGACACATTTCTGAGAAATTGTTCAAAAGGAATTCAATTGAATTGATCAAATTACCTTCAGATGGTTCTTCAGTGGTAGAACTAGGAAGAATTGATTTAACACAATCAAGAATATAATTTCTTAAGAAAATTCCTTTTGTTGGGTGTTGTACAGCACGTGACATTTCAATAATATCTTTTAAAAATACAACTATACCTACTTTCTTTGATTTAACTGCAGCTGAACCAACAATACACATCAAATATAAACGAGCAACAGCACATTGATAAGTTTGTACTTCTTCATATAAGTCAAGTATATCATTTCCATCGGCAATATAGTCAGTTCTTAAGTACATGTCTAATACACTTAAACATTGTTGTAACACAAGATATAAATTATAATATTGTGCTGGAATCAAATTAGTGGTATTCATTTGTTCACAAATTTTATATGCGTTTTCAAGTGCTTCATTATAATTTTTATGGTCCATGGCTCTTCTCATAAGATCCGTGTACATTGCCATATTATTTTGTTTTTGATTTGATTCAGTAACAGGGTCAACTTGTTGAACCTTCTTGCTCATTATATTTATCTTTCTTTTTAAGTTCTAGTTCTTTTCTTTTCATTTTTTATACGATTCTTTTTAAGTTTTCATTAAGTTTTTAGATTGCAATCTTAAAAAAAAAAAATGAAAAAATATTTTAATTAAGAGAAATTAATTAAAACAGTGAATAGCCATTTGAAGAAAAGAATTATCAAGCTCAAATAAACCTTCTTTCTTTTGGATGTCAAAGTGTAACGAAATTTGATTAGATTCAATGTGTTGTATTTTATTTTTTTTATACAAATATATAAGATAAATTTTTGATGAAGGATAAAGAGAATGAACTGATTCAATATCTTTTTTTGTTTCGGTTGTTAATTCTTCGATGACCACTAATATTATTTTAGGAAGTAGTCCAGAGCCGTATCCTTCCCAAAAGTCAACAACATATAAATCTTTTAATGAATTTTTTAATTGTTGAATTCTTTGATTCTTTAATTCTTCAATCCTTTTTTGGTCATCACCTGAATTAAAAATTTGAAATATAAAGATATTACGACTTTCAGGAATATTAGGTTCAGGTAATGTTTGTGTTTGAATTTGTTCATTAAGATTATAACTAATTTTAAGTTGTGTTTTTACAACTTCATCTTTTAGAATCATTAAAGCCTGTTGAATATTATTAACTTTCTTTTGCTGTTCATTGACTTTTTTATTTAATACTTCATTTTGGCAAATCGTTTGAATACAACTTATATCTTCTTTTTTAAATTGTTGACTATTTAAAAGAATTTCTTCTTTTGTTTCAGATGATGATTGTTTTATAACTTCATGAAATAATAATGGATTTAAACTATTTAATTGTTTATAATCATTTCTTTCAAGACATTCATTAATTAATTTAGTTTCATCTTCATTTATTCCATAATACTCTTCTAGATATTGTAAATACATTTTGATTGATGGGTTATTACTAGATGAATGTAAAGCAGTAAAGACAGTTGCTCCAATTTTATTGTCTATAGAAAATACAACAGAAGTTAATAATTGATTGACATAAGTAAATATATCAATGCTACTCATATCACTAATAATTATTAGTTTAGGTTTTTTTTAGATGAAAAAATAATATGAAAATAAAAAGCAATTAATTAAGTATTAAAAGAAACAG